AAAATTCGGGTTCGTCGCCTGGTATTTCCACCTATCCGCAACTTGCTCCCTGCACTGTTCGTTGACTCCTCGGTATCGCTTTGCGCTGGGCCCTTCCCCTTTTTCGGGTCTCTGACAAGGGGCACTTCGTCGGACTCCTGTCGCTCGAATTGTCGAAGGACTTGAGTCATGTGTTGAAGCATGCCCTCTACCTTGTCTTCCAAGACCGCGAATTGCTTTTGGAATGGCTCAGGGGTCGTTAATGCCTGCGCCTCGGGCAACCCCTCCTGACGCTCTTGGTTTGGCTGGCTGGTCCCATCCTCGGGTCCTCCAACCTGGGGTCGCCCAAGTTCAGCCTCCTCTTGGCAGAGCAGTTATCATCAGAGCGTCGTGGATTCCTTTCTGGTGTCATGTTGCTCAACTGGATGCTTTAAGTCGTCCCCACAGACGGCGCCAATTGTTGATGCTTGGATTTCGGTCCTCCGATTCACTTCTTCGAACCTACCAAACTTGTTGATCCAGGACTAGTGCCTGCAAAACCAGATTGAGCTAAACCGGTGCGACTTTAGTCACACGGGCTCCGATGCTTAAGTTAGTAGGAGAATAATGTGAAATCTAGCTAATTTTTAGATGACCCTACCTCTAAGGCTGGATCGCTACTTATAGTCGTCAGGTTGTTCCAGAACTTTCTATAGGTAGCTAACCCTAATTTCATTGGCGGGCCTGGGCGAAACCGTGGATCGAAGACGAAGGGTCGCTGGAGGGCCGTGGGCCGAGCCACGGGTCGGGACCGAGCCCATCGCGGCCCAGTGGCTTCCTTCCGATCTTCACCTGTGCCTCGACTTTCGGTTTCCATTGCATAACAATCATAAATTCTATTAAAACCTTTTTTTTATTCACCTAAAAACTATGTATTATTATTTTTTCTTTTTTATTCAAACTCAAACCAACGTTAAGTAGTTAACCCACAAACAATCAAATTTTTAATTATCATGTATAAATTATAGTGATTGAAATCAAGCCAAACTGTAGAGAATGTAGTCTAAATCAAAGCTAGAATGCCAAATTGATAATTTAAACGAAAAAGTAAAAAGGAGGGGAAAATGGAAGGGGTAGAACTGTACTTTCACTGCAACCTGGAATGACATTAATAATGAAATAACATTTATTTCATAGAAAAGAGCAGTAAGTACTGAATGCCTCTCTGTCTGTATATATTTATCGCCATTAAAGATGAAGGAATGGGTGACGGTGAAGAGAAGAGAAAGATGAAGGACGGAGGTTCAAAGTTTTGCAGGAAAAAGTTGGAGGAGAATTCAAATGAAACTGATGGTGTTCCTCACTGTTTTTCCTGTTTACCCATCATCTTCAATAACTGCAACTCCCTCCTCCAAGCTCTCATCAGGTTTCTAGGGTTTCAACTTCATACACAACACCCACATCATTCTTCTTCCTCCCCTACAGCTAACGGAGCTTACCACCTGATATCGTCCTCACCGGAGCTTTGCTACCCCGGCGGCTCGGATCTGCCTCCCACAATGGCCGACCCACCGCCCGACGGATCGGTAAGCTTCCCTCCCCTATTCCTTTTAGTTCCGATGAGTTTGAGATGAGTTTTGAGAAAATATATTTTTAAGTAATTTGATTAGTTCGAACCTTCGCTCTTTTATTCCAAGATATATGTTGAGTTATATTTGAATCAAGTTTGTCAAAATTATTAATTAAGGTTTAATTTAAGGGTTATTCTCTTGGATATTTTTAGGATAAGTTTGAGATGAAATTTTGAAAAATATATTTCTTTTAAGTAAAAGAAACTATTTATTGGGTTTGGTGTTATGAGATGATATATCCTTTAACTAATTTAATTAATCTAGTTAAGTTACAGTAACGGAAGAAGAGAAGTTATTAATTAAGTAGTTGGGTGTTTTTAAGATTTTCACTTTTTGATTATGTAACTAAATGAAATGAAATTTTTGACAAATATTTTATTGAGTCTCAAATTCATATCATTTGTCAGATAAAAAGATTTTCACTTTTTGATTCAGTAATTTAAAAGAAACAAAAATTTAAAAAACAAAGGATCCAATGCAACTCAAAATAAGTACTGTATTTTCGACCCTCCGAAAAAAATAAGTACTGTATTTTCTATTTTCACTTTAGGTTTGAAAATGTGTTCCACAGCACATTTAGAAATTATTTGCCATTTTAGAATTTTAAGAAATTTATAAAAAAAATATTTTAATTAATTAGTAAGTATTTTTACCACAAAATATTATTATTAATTTTTTTATTTTATTGATATATATGATATATTTCAAATATAATGGATATCTCTATATGGACTGATATATTTTATTCCATGCCTTAAATATTAGTCAAAAGTTAACATTAAGGTGTCTTTGGTTGGTTTGGATTTGTAGGGTTTCATGCAGGGCCGGGAAAGTGAGTTCAGCAGACGTGCTCCTCCGCCACGGAGGAGCACCGGCGGCGGTGGTCAGACCAACTAAGATATCGGCGACTTTTAATTTTATTTTTATTTTCCTTTCTCTTTTTTTATCCCTTCTAATTCTTGTGGAGTTATATAATATATATGTATATTATACAAATCGAATTAATTACAAACTTGCTTAATTAATTATGCAACTACCAGGATCATCAGATGTTGATTAGTTTGGTTTAGTTTAGGGAGGGTAATTATGTCTATTTTGGAAAGTTTTGGCTCAGTTCAATAACCATTTTGTTTTTATATTTTTATCTTTTTTTTTTTAAATTATGTACTTGATTACATGCCATTTATTTATACTAGCTAGCTAGCTTGTTTTATTACTACGTGGAATGAACGTAATAATTTTTTTAGTTTATTAAATAAATGTAATTATTCTTTCTAAAGTAAATTGGTAAAAGTAGTGTAGCGCTAACAATATCTTCCATCTCAACCCCAAACCGTTCTTTAATTGGAAATCCTTCGTGGAATGGCTCCTCAATACATCACTAATTTGGTTAGGGATCACACACCGCTCCACATCACATCACTTGGATTGCTGTATAGTGGTTGAATTGTACAATTGTGTGTTAATCTTAAGGGTGTTCATGAATAGTTAACAAAATCGAACCAATCAACTAAATCGAAGGTGGTCAGACAGTTGAAGCAAAATGGATCGGTGGTGACGACCAATCGATTGGTCGGTCTATCTAGACTTACGAAAAATCGACTACCTAATTAACTAAAAAATAAAAATAAATTACACACACATATATATAAAAGTGTATATATATGTTTACTTTACCTTTACCTCCCATGTTTCTTTCTCAATCTTAGCAATATCTCCCCCCTTCTCAATCTCAGCCATCTTCCCAGACACCGATAGCCTTCTTCTCTTAACACTGACAGTGAAACAACCCGTATTTTCTAATACGATCATTCTGAAAAAATGCAGAAATGTAACTTTCAAGAAACTTTAAGAACTAAAATTATTCAGCGGAAGCAATTTCTTTACAGAATTTTTCTAAACTAATTTAACTAAATAGGAAGATGACTTTCAAACTTATTCCCATGTGCTAAACTTCACCCTCTACCAAAAAGATCATTTAATCCTTCGTCTGAAAAACATTTAGAAAACAGAAAAATGAGTACAAAAATACTCAATAGCAATTTCCATATCGAATTTCAAAATTCATTTTTCTTTCAAAACATTCCTAAACAAAAATACAAACAGATCAAAACTCTTAAAATCCTTTAAAATATTTAATACAATTTTCAAAACATTCAAAACAAACTAGATTTTCAGAAACAAAGTCTTCAAATAAGATAAAATTTCCAATCAATCAAAACAAACTTTCATTCTTTCAAAATAAACTTCCATTCATTCAAAACGAACTTTTAATGATTCAAATTAACAATCTTCCATTCATTCGAAACAAACTTTCATTCGATCAAACTTCAAATCCTTCGAAAGAAACTTTCTTTCAATCAAAACTTTCAAAATTTCTTCTAAAACATTTGGTACAACTTTCAAACTTTCGAATAACTAAATCATTCAAACATTCAAAACAATCTTACATTCATTCATACTTTCAAAATCAGAGTGGAAGGTTGGATTATTTGGGTAGCTTACAGAACATATGTGATTACCAATCGGTAACACCAATCAATCAGAAGCTTCTATCAGAGTTGTCGAATTAATATCGACCAGAACAGAGTTGTCGAAATAATATTGACCAGAATAGGGTTGTCGAAATAATATCGACCAGAACAAACAGAACGGTTACTTAAGTGTGAGGCCATGTGAGTGCATAACACACACATGAATCTTCATTCCCAAGGAATGCTAAACCACAAAAGTATCTTCCCACAAATAAGCCACAACAGAAATACATCAATTCCAAATTAGGCTACTACCCCCAAATAAGCAAAACGTTCCTCAAAACAAAATCATGGCATATCTGGATAGCCGTATCAAATCAATCAAAATATTTTTCAAATAAAATGCAAAACAAATACTTACTTTCAATATTAAATTAATTCAAAACATTGAACTAATTTAAAACAAATTTTATCAATCCTCCAAAACATGATTTCAAATATTTCACAAATAAACAAAATATCAATTTCAAACCTTTAAATAAATCTAAACAAAACTTTATCAAATCATATAAGAATACTTCAAATACTTTGCAAATAAACATAATATCAATTGCCAAATTATTTTTCAAATCCATAATAAAACTTGAATTTCATATGCAAGATTGAATTTCAAATCGTCGTATCAAATCCAAAATACATTTTAGTTTTGGAAGGGATACGACAAATCACTTACAATACTTTTCGAAAGGATATGAGAAATTACTTACAATACTTTTCGAAGGGATACGGTAAATCATTTACAACACTTTTCGAAGGGATACGGTAAATCACTTACCTCTTTCAGAAATCCTACAAATCTAATTAACTTCTACCTTGGTAGTTGTCAACTTGGAGGCCTAGAAACAACCAATATCCAAAATCAATCCTTAAATCCTATCCAAGGATTTAAAATTCAACCAATTACCAACCAAATCTTATCTACCCAATTTTTCCATTCAATTTATGCAAAATAATTAGGAAAATATAGATTTGGTGCTACAAAACTGGATATGAAAACTGGGTTAAAAAGCCTCTAAAATCAACAATAACAACCTTTAAAATTACAAGAATCGGTATAAATTAATACGGACTAAATTTACAAAAAGTTTCTCAACAAAACAAGTTTAAAAGCCTTATAATGAATTGAAAATTTGGGGATTTTAAATCTGGAAAATTTTTTGTTTTATAAAATAAAACTTCCAAGAATTTTCCATAAAACAATTAACAATATTTACTGATTTTTATAGAAAAATCAGATCTGAAAACTGTATAGAAAACCTTTAAAACTTGGTAAAAACATATAATTTTTCATGTAAAAATAATAACAACAAACTATAATTTATAGGATACAAATAGGTAAACTTTTTATGCAAAAAGAGTCTCAAAATAGCTCAAAAACAGAGTCATAAACAAAAAGATTCAAACCAAAAATTCTGGAAAATTTTTAGGGTAAAAAGTCCTTAAAATATTTTATTCTAAAAAAACAAAAACCTCAAAACTTTTCCCAATAAACTGAATTAAAGAACTACAAGTCAAGAAAAATAAAACTAAAACAATGAGGAAGAAAAACTTACCGATCTTTGAGAGAAAATACCAAAACTCTTTTTTTTTTCTTTTTCTCTTTGAGAGAAAACTAGGTCTAGCAGTTTAAGAAAAATAAAACTTAAGGTTTAAAGACTTTTACAACAAACTCTAATGAATCCTTATTTAAAAAGGATAATAAAAAGATAAAGATTTAATAAAACTTTTTCTTTTTATTTTTTAAATTCTAAGAACAAATTTTTTTTAAAAATAATTTTTAAAACAAAAAAGTTTATCTTTGAGAAAACAAAAGAAAACATCTAAAAAAATAATAATTTAAATATATATATTTATATATTGTTTCGGTTGTTACAACATTCGTCTCTTAATGTCGACAAGCACCATCTTTATCTCACTTTCTCATACGCCACTCTCTCAAATTCCTCGGTAGGAAATAAAATGAGATTTTATATGAAAATGATTGTTATGTCATAGGATGAACCATTACCTTAAAAGCAATTTCGACACGACCATGGTGCTAAATTGTATTTAGTCGGTTGCTCCCAAAGGTTAACACAACACCCAACTCAGACGTGCACTCGTTAGAGCGGATTGGAATCGAAGAACACGGTCATAAAGTTTTGAGAAAGTTTAGAATATTCTACCCCAAAAAAGAAAACTCAATTTTAATTTTTAAAAGGGAAACAGAAGAAACGTTTTAACTTAATGAAATAAAACATTACAAAACAAAATTAATTAATTAATTAGAACATTAAATAATGAATTTTGTAACGTTCAAATAATTAAAACTGAAATAAAATGTTTTTCATTAAAACTTATAAAAATAAGCAATAATAAAATATTATCTATTTTGCTTTGTAAATATACATTTTTCCTTCGTCATTCCTAACAATTCCCCGCGAATGACAAATGGTAAAAATAAAATAAAAATTTGAGCAAATAAAAGAAAATAAACTTAAGCATTAATATCTCTCGATTTGAATAAATACGTAATGAAGTAAGGCAACAACTTAATTAATAGTGAAAGTGAATTACCGCTTGAACTTCCAATATTCATGGTTGAGACCCCCACAACACGTTTTAATAATTTGTTTTTCGATTCCGCGATATAAACCAAATGCTATTAATGGTCATGCACATAAAACCTCAGGTCATCGTGAAACCTCTAAAAAGAGATCCTTTAACAATTTCATAGAATGCAACCTACCTTCACAATTACGTTATTGCTTTATCAAGTCTATCAGAGATAAACCACTAAAAAACAGAGCTATCAAGACTTAGTCCATACAAACCACCCAAATAAAGGGTTATGAATTCTCACAGTGCATCATAACACGAGTGCATTATCCATCAAGTCCATACCACCCAAATAAAGGCTATGGATTCTCATAGTATATCATAAACATTACAGTTTTAGTCCCATAAATAATGAAGATTCAAGAATTATCCTCATTGTTAGGTTTTTCATGAGATGATCTACTAAGTTCCTTTCAGACCTAACTCCAAGAAAGATAAGTTCACCTTCAGCAACTGCTTTACAACTCAATTTCTTAGGCGTATATGCCTTCTATTGCCATTGCACACTTTGTTTTTGACAATCACAACCTATAAATCATAATGTAGAGATATTAGTACAAATTTCCCCCACAATCATAACATATTCCATGACATAACAATTATTCATACACTTCTACACATATGTATAATAGAATAATCACTAGGGCAGTTTGCTGATTTCATGAAATATAGTTCCTCTACACATATGTATAATAGAATAATCACTAGGGCAGTTTGCTGATTTCATGAAATATAGTTCCTCCACTTAATGGAAACACATATTCGCTAGTGGACACTTCATTGTTATCAATAACACTGTTTGCCAACCACCGTCTAATATAGAATGAAACTTGTTAAATTGCACACAATTTTATAGTGAATATATTTACTCAATCTACTCACAAGATATGCAATATGAAGTCTACTACAGTTCATTAAAAACCTTATACTATCCATAGTTTTTGCATATCCAGATTGAGATACACTATCACTCTTGTTTTTTAAAGACTCATACTAGCATCATAAA